GTGTCGTTAATATGGTCTCGTCTATCATTGTAAGTCTTACATCGCTTTGCTTCATTTGTTAAATAGTTCTGATGTTTTAGTTATTTACGTCGCTATTCAGAGGCCAATTCTTCTTGGTCAGTCAAATTTCTACGTCCAACCCCACCCTTGCAAATCTTCGTTTGTTTTCTTCTGCTCTTCTGTTCTTGTTGAATAAGTTTTTCTGCGTTTATGAATGTAAGACTTCTTTCTCTTTTCTTCATTTGTTAGTTCAGATTCTTAAGATTTTTCATTGCTATTGAGAGGCCAATTGTTTTGGTTAGTGAACTATCTACGCCCAAACCCACCCTTGCAAGTTTTCGTTTGTTTTCTTCTGCTCTTCTTTTCTTGTTGAATAAGTTTTTCTATCTTTATTAATGTTAGTCTCCCTTCGCTTTTCTTTATTTGTTAAATAGGTCTGATGTTTAAGTTTTTACATCGCTGTTCAGAGACCAACTCTTCTTGGTCAGTCAACTTTCTACGTCCAACCCCACCTTTGCAAATCTTCGTCTGTTTCTTTCCCTTCTGTTCTTATTGAATAAGTTGTTCTATGTTTATCAATATAAGTCTTCCTTCGCTTCTCTTTATTTCTTAAATAGGTCTGATATTGTAGTTTTTACGTCGTAGTACAGAGGACAACTTTTCTAGGTCAGTCAATTTTCTACATTATTCAATATAAGTCTTCTTTCGCTTTCCTTTATTTCTTAAATAGGTCTCATGTTGTAGTTTTTTACGTCGCTGTTCAGAGGCCAACAGTTCTTGTTCAGTCAACCTTTTACGTCCAGCCCCACCCTTGCAAATCTTCGTCTCAAAATCGATCATAAAGTCAGTTTTTATAATAGTTTTCATCATCGTAATATATCGAATGAGTATCACTTTACCTTGTTGGAGTTGGTACTTCAAATACTTGATAACTTCTTCTTTCACTTTCCTGATGTTTTAGGCCAACTGTCAGTCAATTTTGAAGAATGCGACGTGCTGTTTCTGGAGCAGTGATAATGCAACTGACTTGATATTCTTTGATTTCCTTGTTGTGAAGCGTTATTTGTTTACTCGGCATTGTTGTGTCGACTTCAACAATGCCAACATATTTGTTTACACGGCATTGTTGTGGAACACAACAATGCCGAGTAAACAAATAACTGTTGGCATTGTTGATGACGTCATTTTTTGATGACAAATTGGTTGAAGACAACGACTAATCACAAATTTTTATAGTAATAGTATAAGATACTTGCACATACTCACACAACAGCATGCTATAATACAATATGAGAATTTGTTCCATTAA